GGAGAAGGATGTCATGCTGGGTAAGATGGAGGGTCAGAGAAAAAGAGGAAGACCCCCAACGAGATGGATCGGCCAGATGGCATCATTGATGGCGTCAAGTGTGGCAGCGGCAATGAAGTTGGCCCAGGATCGGACATTGTTTCGTTCTGCTGTGCATGGGGTTGCTGTGAGTCGGTTCCGACTCGATGGCAACTGACAACAACAACAACAGTGTGAATAAAATAGTTAATCAGAGGCTAGAACTAAGACCCGCCTTCTCGAGGGAAGTGGAATAGGGATTGCAGTGTTAGGTCTCTTCAGAGGGAAGGGAGGAGAGGACTGGGTCAGGGTGCCAAGCCCACCAACAGGTCTAGTGATCATTATTTTTTTTGTAACATAGATTTCAAATATAATTCTTAAGATAAATGCAGACATAGACTACTAGAGCTTACCATGCAAAATTCTGAGTTTGCACATCAAGGTGAGACTTAAATATGAGTCGGGCACTGAAAAGTTGTTTTCTCATGCCCTGAGTCTGAGGACTAGTCAGACGTGCTCCCTGCTTGGCACTGTAAGTGGGAGCTCACAGACCTAAGAAATTGTGAGGTTTTGAGGGAGAAGAACGAAGGAGGATGGGATAAAATGTTTCCAGCTGAAGGGAGAGCTGCTTCTGGAGTTTCCTGAAGCCAATATCTTGCTGCAAAGAAAAGACAGCTGATCTGTGGCCTGAGGGCCCGGCCGTATGCATATGAATAGAGTTAGTCTGAGAGACAAGAAAAGATTGAACTTGAGTGTTTGAAAAGGTTAATGTGTTTGACTGCCTTATTGTAAAATAGACAGACATACTTGTGTGGTAGGAATATTTGAAATTGTGATGACGTAAAGTTTATAAACCGACCTTCAGCCTATGCTTGATTAGATTTGCTAAACAGGGAGTTAGAAATTTGTAAAAATGGCTTCTAAATTTAAGCCTTTGTAGAAGTTTAAGGTAGAATCTTGAGCTCCACCCAGAACTTTAGAGTTGATACATTTGCATTCGAAAAGACATGCAGACCACCAGAACTGTTGAAAGAACAAGAAATTTGTAATGGAAAGAAAACGGGGTGGGGGGGTGGAGGTGGGGTGCTGCCAGACAGTTTGGCATTTTGAGTTTCAGAGGCTTCAAGGCAAGGAAGGTTGACCCATCAAAGAAAACTCCTAGGACTGAAAGTTGAAGGGAACCAGCGAGCAATATGCTTGCTGATGATCCCCTGGGTCTACTTGTGAGTGGAATCTGGCGAATGTTCTATTGGCACCTGTTGACCTTGAGCTGAAATGAGAGGGAAGGCCGATTGTTTTGAAGTGCAGGGAGGTGTGTGTGAACTCCCAAGCTTGCAGCTGACACTCATTTGACTTAGCTTGGATGGCTAGGGTTGTTAAGCCCACTAGAACCTGATCAGACGAATATGGAGATGGTTGATACTCTGAGCAAGCATCAGCTGCTACAATTTGATGGACTGGACTTTTGCTTATGGATGCAGTTCCTAAAAATTCCAATCAGAATGGAAGTCTCTTCAGATCAGGGAACATGCTTGTCTTCTCTACTGGGTTGGTCGGGAAGGGCAATGTAGACCGTGCTCTTGCTATGGAGGCATGAAGTTGCTGACTTGACAGACTTTCATAGGTGTGCTTGGTTTTAGAATGAGGGGTCAAGGGTAAATCCCTACTGACTAGGTTTCCTGTTTTCCAAATGGGTCTGGTGAAAGGGGTACAAAATGATGCTGATAAGATTTTATTATTTCAATTGTAATTGTTAGTACTATTAATTGTGATTGTCTAACTGTAACGAGTCCTGGTGTGGCGCTGTGGGTTAATGCGCCTGACTGCAAAGCCGTTTGAACTGCAAAGTCGGTAGTTCAAGCTCACCAGTCACTCCTTGGAAACCCTACACAGGGTCACTATGAGTTGGAACTGACTCGACGGCACTTAACAACAACTGTAATTAGAAAATACGTAGCTAAAAGGAGGGAGTAGTTATCTTTTATTTCCAGAACGGACCATCAAGAAGGAAGAGCATGAGTGGAGTGACGGAACAGATGGTAGGAGAGGTTGTAGCATGGAAAGGTAGAGCAGCTATGGCCTCTAGGCCCGTGGACTGAATGATGGATGAGGCTGTGTGCCTATGGACTGGAGACTGGCTTTTGGACATTTATGTGTTCATCAAATATTTCTGATTTTTTCATTCATGAAATATAAGGGGGAAATGGGCTGGTGTGTTTTCGATTGTCCATGTTTTAGTTATATGTCAGGTGCAAATATGATACAACCTAATCTAAGAATAGTTAGCTCCACTCTTAGGGACATCTAGAATTGATACACTTTATGGGGATTTAAGAAGAATCAATGAAGATGAGACCAATAAGTATAAAAAGAAAAGAGGAGGATTTGTGAGAAATTCTCAAGATGGTCCATCTTCAGGAATAAACGGCACATGAGATTACTAGACCAGACATAGGTTGTTGATTCACACCCAGGGATATGTAAGCAGAATGAATTGGGTGAAGGGGGAAAGAAATCTGTTTCATGACTTGTGTGCCGTGGAGTTGGTTCTGACTCATAGCGACCCTGTACAGGGTTTCCGAGGCTGTAAATCTTTACGGGAGCAGAAAGCCTCATCTTTCTCCTGTGGAACAGCTGGTGGTTTCGAACTGCTGACCTTGCGGTTTCATGACTAGGAACTGTAAATACAGTCACTAAGACCATGGGGGCCATTCAGGGAAGATTGTGAAACTGGAGGGGAGGGTCTTTTTCCAGACAGGAATACACCCGTTTGTGGCCTGCCATGTTGTAGGTCTGTGCACGTCTACTAGGTTGTTGTTATTGTTGGTAAGTACCGGGGAGTCGGTTCTGATCCATAGCGACCCTGTACAGTTTCTGAGGCTGTAAATCTTGACGGGAGCAGAATGCCTCATCTTTCTCCCACGGAACAGCTGGTAGTTTCGAACTGCCGACCTTGAGGTTAACAGCCTGATTCATAACCACTATGCTACCAGAGCTCCTTGTCTACTAGGTTGGGTGCCCAATTTTGCAAAATTGAATAAAGAAAACCTCACTCTCGCTAAAATGGGTAGATTGGATTTCTTGAGTGTTTGTAGGTATTGACAACGTTTCTTCTCAAGGCATAGCTGCTGCATAAGATCTCTTTGAAGTGTTAAAAAGCAAAGATGCCACTTTGAGGGCTAAGGTGCACTTGACCCAAACCATAGTATTTTTAGTCTCCTAACATGCATGTGAAAAGATATGCATGTCCACCCAGAACTGTTGAAGATTTGTGAGTTTAAATAAAAAAAAAAAAAGGCAGACAGTTTGGCATTTTGAGTTTCAGAGGGTTCTAGGCAAGGAAAGTTGTCCCATCAAAGAAAACCCCTTTCTAGGACTGAAAGTTGAAGGGAACCAGCCAGCAATATTCTTGCTGATGCACCCTTGATCTTGAGATGAAATAAGAGGAAATGCTGATTGTTTTGAAGTTCAGGGAGGTGTATGTGAACTCCCAAGCTTGCAGCTGGTACTCATTTGACCTAACTTGGATAGCTAGGGTTGTTAAGCTGACTAGAACATGATCAGATGAATATGAAGATGTTTAATACACTGAGCAAGCATCAGCTGCTACTATTTGATGGGCTGGACTTTTGCTTATGGATGCAGTTCCTAAAAATTCCAAGCAGAATGAAAGTCTCTTCAAATTGAGGAACATGCATGTCTTCTCAGTGTACTGGATTGGTAGTCTGGGCAATTTAGACGTTACTCTCTGGTAACATAGTGGTTACAAGTTGGGCTGCTAACCTCACAGTCAGCAGTTCGAAAATATCAGCAGTTCTGCAGGAGAAAGATGAGGCTTTCTGCTCCCATAAAGATTTACAGCCTCGGAAACCCTGTACAAGGTTCCTATGGGTCGGAACCAACTCAATGACACTTAACAACAATATGCATGTGAAGGCTTACTGGTAGCGTAGTGGTTATGAATGGGGCTGCGAACTACAAGGTCAGCAGTTCGAAACTACCAGCTGTTCCGCCGAAGAAAGATGAGGCTTTCTGCTCCCGTCAAGATTTACAGCCTCGGAAACCCTGTACAGGGTCACTACGAGTCAGAACCGACTCCACCTTAAGGTCAGAAGTTCGAAACTACCAGCTGTTCCACGGGAGAGAGATGAGGCTTTCTGCTCCTGTCAAGATTTACAGCTCGGAAACCCTGTACAGGGTCGCTATGGGTCAGAACCAACTCGATGGCACTTAACAACAATGTGCATGTGAAGGAGCTCTGGTAGCGTAGTGGTTACGAATTGGGCTGTGAACTTGGAACCATCTTCATGGTACATAGCCACCACCAAAGTTACATCAAGGTCACCTTCTTGGGAGTACTACTCTCCCTTCCCCTACAATGCCAGTCTCCTTTTTTGCTTTAGTTTCTTTACTGCTCTGCAGTGCAGTGAATTTCTGGATCAGAACCTTTTAGCCATAGTCTTTGTAACTGCCACCAAATGATTGGATGGGTGCTTGTGGCCCACAGAGGGCATTGGAGCGCTTGCTAATAATGTAATGAAGCTACATGGCACCCTTGTGGGAGGGAACCTGCAGGGAATGTGTGTGGAATCCTAAAGGGGATGGTCAGTTGTGCCATCCTGCAGGGTTTGAATGAGCTGTCCCATAGTCTGAAAGGGGGAATCCCACGAAGCCCCCCACACCTTTGCTTCCTGGCCTTTATTTTGTGTTTCTTTTGTTCACTTTCTGTGTCTTCCGTTCTACCCTGATACCCTGATAGAATGGGAGTCCTGGAAGACAGGAATTTTGTCTGTTCTCGGGCCCCATTCTCCGCCCATCACAAACTCCATGCTTTTGTCAGAAGAATGTTAAGGAGAACCACCTGTTAGCTGCTGCTCACTTGATACCGAAGCTCAGTGTATGGGACACAGGGAACTGAATGGGTGGCCGAGACAGCTGTCCTGCGGTAAGCAGCGCTTCTGACTTGGGCCTTTTCTTTGCAGGTGTCCCTGGAGAAGGTGCTCGGCATCACGGCCCAGAACAGCAGCGGCCTAACCTGTGACCCCAGCACAGGCCATGTGGCCTACCTGGCAGGGTGAGCAAGTGGGTGGGCCTCGGCCTCTAATCACTGCCGGGGAGTTTGGAGCCTTTCCAGTCTGCCCTGGGGAGTCACTGGGTGAACCTCTCTGGGCATCATCTTCCCTACCTGTTGTTGTTAAGTGCTGTTGAGTCACTTCCTACTCATAGTGACCCTGTGTAGGGTTTCCAAGGAGCGGCTGGTGGGTTTGAACCACTGACCTTGCAGTTAGCAGTCTGGTGCTATTCCTACAGTACTTCACCAGGACTCCTACCTGTAGAATGTGGCTAATGCTGCCTACTTCTGAGGGCTGTGGAGAAGGCGCCACAGGCCCATTTGTGCATAGAGCAGTACCTGGCACACAGTGAGGGTGATGAAAGCCCTCCCGTGTCTGCTGGGGGAGAGACCAGCGATGCTGGGAAAGACAGGAGGTCCAGACCCAAGCTGGGGCTCAGGCAGCCTGGATCCATGTCCCAGCCCCGTATTTGCTTCTGCCTCTCCTTCAAGCAGCCATGAAAGCCAAACTAGTGATGTCCTGTTTCCGGTGGCTGAGGGAGACCAGCCCTGGAGCAGTTTATTCCTCAAATGCTGAAAGCGACTCCCTGCTGGGGAGGGCAGGGTTGTTGTTGTTAAGTGCCTTCAAGTCAGTTCCGACTTGTAAATCTTCCGAGGCTGTAAATCTTTACAGGAGCAGAAAGCCTCATCTTTCTCCTGCGGAGCAGCTGGTAGTTTTGAACTGCTGACCTTAAGAATCGCAGACCGATTCGTAACCACTATTTATTATTGAGTCTTTGGGAAGCAGCCCAGGATAGAGGACAAGGAGGTGGGCTCTTGAACCTGACAGGTGTGGATTCACATCTTGGCTCTGCCCCTGACTTGCTGGGTGACCCTGGACAAAGGGCTTCCCCTCACTAGCCTTAGGTTTCTACGTCCATCAAACCACTAAAGAACCCTGACCTCACCTGGAAGTTGTGAGGATTGTAAAAATAAGCAGTTTTCAGGCCCTGATTGAATGGGCCCCACATGGTAAGAACACCCACTCCTCACTTCTCACCACAGTGTGAGGTTCCACAGACTGGGTCTTTGCTTGTTAACTGCAGATGAACTGTTCCTACCCCTCAGCTGTGCCTTGGGAGAAATGTGAGGCTTTCTGCTCCTATAAAGACTTGCAGCCTCAGAAACTCGCCACAGGGTTGCTATGAGTCAGAATCGACTTGATGGGAGTGAGTTTGGTTTTGGTTTTTTGATCATAAATGTGAAACGCCGGATTCTGAGCTAGTTGATAAGTTAGGAGTAGGTGTATTGGTTTCTGTTTAAGAATATATAGCTACTGCTAAGGTTAAGTACCATAGAGTTCGTGCAGAAGCACTTTGAGCAAGAGACTCGAGGGAGAATCTTCTGTTCAGAGGGAGCCTTGTCTGTGTGCAGGCTGTTCTGGGATGAGACTCGTTCTTGGGTCTCCAGTGTTTTCCCCAGTCTGGGCACATTTCCTTCTTTCTTTACAGCTGTGTGGTGGTGATTTTGGACCCCAAAGAGAACAAACAGCAACACATCTTTAATACTGCCAGGTAGGCTGGGACCTGGGCATGGGAGGGGGTGGGACATTCCCCCGTCCCTACAGAGCCCGGAGGGAGGGACTCACAACTGGGGATTCCACCAGCACCTGGCAGGCAACTACTCTCCGGTTACTGGGAGCACCACAGTGGACAAGAGAGACAAGAAGCTCTGCTCTCATAAAGCTGACAGCCCAATGAGGGAAACAGACTGTCAGCCAGTAGGCACATTACTAGCAGACCATATTGCTGTGGAGGAAGTGATTGGGGGATTGTGTGTGTTAGGGCAGGGCTGTGGGCCGAGGATGAAGGGAAAGTTCTATCAGAGGGCTCAGGGAAGGCCTCCTGAGGCTGAAAGCTGAAGGAATTGAGGGGTGATCCATAGGAAGGTGTGGGGAGTGATCCAGGCAGGGTGGACAGCACAGGAAAGGGTCCCAGAATGGGGGAGCAGGCAAGGGGGAGATCAGGCAAAAGCCCAGTCACACCTGGTTGTGTTCATGGAGAAACCACTAGAGGGCGTGTGCAGGCCAGGCATGTGCTTTACACAGACACACACACACACAAACACACATTGTGTCCTGCGTGATGGGCAGGTTTCCTCATGACGATATTCAGTTTCTCTCCCATGTGAACTCTACTTCACTTCTGTGAACCCAGCACTTAGAGCAGTATCCAGCACCTCACTGGCACTTCTCTTTCCTGAATGAATGAATGTGATCTGTGTTTTACAAGGATCTCTCTAGCTACTTCTCCTTTGATAAGGGTGAAGGCCAAAAGAACAGCAAGGAGGCAGGAGGGGAGATGCCAAATACCAGGCTGGTGAGATCCAGGCCCATATCCTTTGCTGGAGGATTAGAGGAAAGCTGGGGAGCCAGTCTGTTGCCTAAACCTGGAGCCCCTCTCTGAGTCCCCCAGGACTGTCAGTTTATTGAGGGAAAGCCCTTGGCCTTGTATGGGCCTAGGCTGCTGACCAGGGAATCTGCCTTGGGGTTGGTTGAGCTTTGTCATCCTAGGGTCCCAATCAGACTCTGACCATTTTGATCTTGGGAGGCACTCCTTCTCTTTGGTTTAACTAAAGCCCAGCTCCTCTGGCCACTGCTCTTCAGGCAAACAGAGAAGATGGAGGTTTTTCATGGTTACTAAGGTAGCTTAGTGGTTATGAATCGGGCTGCTAACCTGAAGGTCGGCAGTTCGAAACTACCAGCAGTTCCGCGCGAGAAAGATGAGGCGTTCTGCGCCTGTAAAGATTTCCAGCCATGGAAACCCTGTGCAGGGTCACTATGAGTCGGAACCAACTCCACGGTACATGACAACAACAATAAAAGATGACAGGTAGGGCCCAGATTCTCTCTAGGAAGGGGCTTCCTGGACCCCTGGTTTCTGACTCTGTATTGTGAAGAGTTGTTGTGAAGCCTGAGCTGGCTTCTAGACCTTCCCAAGCTTTATGATACTGTGTGACATCAGACAAGACGCATCTCCTTTCTGAGCCTTGGCCTCTAGAAATACAATTACTACCTCAGGTGTTCTCAAAACAACAATGGCCAAACAACCAAGGAAATCTTTGACAAGGTTGAAAGTGTTTTTCATACAAAAATCCATATATCCCCTTTGTTTTGGAAAAATGAGTGATTCCCACCTCTGTGGCCTGCATGCATTCACCTGGCAGCCACAGAATGAAGCTTGGTGGCATCTGTTAGAACTTTTTTTTTTAATGTTTACCTGTGTTTTATTGTTTTATCGACTATCCAAAAGCATTTGACTGTGTGGATCCTAACAAATTATAGATAACATTGTGAGGAATGGAAATTCCCAAAGACTTAACTGTGCTCATACACAGTCATCCGAACAGAAGAAGGGGATGCTGTATGGATTAAAATCTGGAGAGGTAATGCGATAGGATTGTGTACTTTCACCATATTTATTTAATCTGTATGATGAGTAAATAAAACGAGAAGCTAGACTATATGAAGAAGAATGTGGCATCAGGACTAGAAGAAGACAGCTCAACAACCTGCATGTAACACAACCTTGTTTGCTGAAAGCAAAGAAATCTTGAAGTACTAATGAAGGTCAAAGGTATTCCAATCAGTTATAGGCAGAAGATGGATTTACGAGCTTTCTAATGGATTATATTTCAACATGAAGAAAACAGAAATCCTCACAACTGGACCAGTAAACAGCAGCATGCTAAACGGAGAAAAGATTGAAGTTGTCAAGGATTTCATTTTACTGGATCCACAATCCGCATGTATGGAAGCAGCAGTCAGTAAATAAAATGACAAGGAACAAAGTCTGGTACAGACACACAGTGATGAAACCGGGAAGCAATTCATAACACGGATGAACCTGGAGAACATACCGAGTGAAACAAGTCCATCATAAAAGGGCGGATACAAGGGGACTTCAAAAAGTCTGTGGGAAAATTCCATTATCTTTTTTTTTTTTTT